TATTTCTTCGTAATTTTCTCCATATTAAGAGACTGGCTAGGCAAGCCCAGTCGCGAAACGGTGTGCACTTCATTTATTTCGTATTTTGCATTATCGTATGCGTTTGAAATCTGTATCGACGTTCGCATTGAGTCGCTTTCGATCCGTGTGTTTTCGCCGGTCCAGCGAAGGCACAGTGATTCTAGCTCGCCGTCCAAGCCCAAGGAATCATAAATGTGTTTTTCCATCAATGTCACGGATGATCCCTCGTCTAAAAAGGCGAAGGTTTTTATGGATTTACCCTTTGAGTGTATGCGAACGGGTATTATACGAAAACATGGTGCATCTTCATCATTACCTACATGAGTGTTTACCAGTTGATTATTTATTAGAGGTGGTGTGGTATTTTGCTTTTGCTCAGCATACGTAGATACGCTCTTCGGAGTGTTTTTATGAAGAAGCTTGTGGTGCTTTGATTGGCAACCATCGACTCCACGCTCCCTGTTCGCATAACACTTTCGGCGGTGCATGTTAAGGCATTGTCTGCACAATTTATTGGATTTTACTACATCCCACTTGCGCTCCAAGGTGAGTTTACTAAATTCTACACACGTCTGTATTTTATGATCGGTGCACCCGCATAAAACACACCCAACTTTGTTATGATTTTCGACACCAGTTGCTTGCGTGTGTGCGTTAATTACGCCACTCTTTTTGGATACACGTGGTGTGATCACCTTACTTGCTGCTTCGGCTATTTGGAAAATCCAATCACTAAACGCTTTAATAATTGGTACTCGCTCGTCTCGCTGTAACATTGCCCAATTTAACTTGTGTTGGCTTGGAAGCTTGTCAACGAATTCCTTCACCAACATTGGATTATTCAGATGCGCCTCCATATGGCAGGCTTCCATCGTAGAGCAGATGTTTTGCACGCACAACGCGAAGTCGATAAGACTTTCCAGTTTTTCCTTCAGCGGTGGAATCGCCCTGGCTTTCTCCACCAACGATTCTAGTATATGCTCTGGACGTCCAAAACACATCTTAAGTGTCTGAATTATTTCCGGGACCATAGAGGGGCAATAATTTGCAGCGTACCGTCTCATAGGCCTTTCCCTTGAGACACTTCTGCAGCCGCATTAGGTTTTCGGCGTCGGTGTACCGAGCTACTTGCGTGCTGTTTTCGTAGTTACTTATGAACAGCGGCCAGTCATCCGGATTTCCGCTGAAGGTAGGCAAATCCTTTGGAATTACTTGTCTAGCGGCAAGCTGCGAAGAAGTCGGAGCTGTAGTTGTGCGGTTGATTCCGATAGACGAACCGCCTGCGCTTAGTATTTCGTACTTTTTTTGTAGATACCTTTGCTCTATTTTTCGCTCTTCTTCCACGAGTTCCAATTGTAGTACGTGCTGTTGGGCTACGCTGTCGTAACCTTGAGTTGCATCAAGTCGCGCCCCACATTGAGCGCCAGTTATCGGTGGAAGTAGAGGTTGTTGCATAGCTTGCTGTCCTAGACCAGGGAGTTGCTTGGCAGGTGGGAACATTGCGGTTGAATATATCATTGGTGGGTTCGCGCGATGCGCATTGGAGGTGATAACGGCAGGAGTCATTATCGTTGCCGTTGATACGATGATATTGCTTGCTGTTGTAATTGAACCTATTGGTTGTTGACCATGTGTACCGAATGCTGCATAATTATTATTCTGTACGTCCGTATTTGGCGACGATGCTGCTTGTGGTTGCCCGGTCGTTACCGTAGATATTTCACCATTAGATGTCGGGGGAGCGATAGTGCTCTTTTCAACGTGATTTGTCTGCGCGGATTCGCAAGATTTACAATTCCAACTTATGTTGGCCACGTTACTATTCACCCCGACACAATCGTAGTGGAACCACCTGTCACAGGAGTCGCACTGTACCATGCGGTCGGTATCTTTTTCACAACAATTATTGCAATTGTACTCGTTAGACATGTTTATTAACTTTTATTTTAAAGAGAATATTTTTAAAGATTTGTTGTCTCTCAAATAAATGACCAAATACAAATTTTTTAGCTTTGCTTTTAACTTTATTTGCACTAATTCATGTGCTACTTGCGCAGCGCTTTAAAAATATTATGTATGGTTAATACGCGTGTCAAATACAAGAAAGACCCAGAATTTTACTCTGGCGGTGTTATTTATACACTTATGAAAGAATACAAAATATAACGGTGGCTATTTAACTATTTACAAAATGTATGTACATACATATATGGCTTATTAATGTTGTAGTACGTATGAGTGAAGATGATTTAACTACAGGTATACACTCATGTATAATATAGGTATGCTAAGGTGGTAGGCAAAGTGATAAGTATACCCAGCGGCGGTGTAAACGAGTATACCCAGCGGCAACATTCCCCCCCTAGCAAAGGAATCGTGATGAGTATTGCTTAAGTATTGCCGGTGACATCCAACACTGCCACCTTGGTTGCGGGCCTTTGCATTAGACTCTTTTGCGTTTTTATAGTTACCCGTCGCACCTGTTCATCTTTTGCTTTTACGACATCAACGATGATACCCTTCGGCCAATAATTTCGCGGCAGAGTCTCATCAACAACAACAACGACGTCTCCGATTGCGACTGATGCCCGCTTGCTGAACCATTTGGCTCTACGTTGAATGATTGGAGTATATTACTGCAGCCAACGTTGCCAGAACTTGTTAGCGAAGTCTTGTGTCTTGTGCCACTGCTGTCGTAGGTTTGATGCCTCGTTGAAGACTGATTTGTGTCCGTCGGTAGATCCGAGGAGCAGGTGGTTTGGTGGGAGCGCATCGTCGTCTGCGCTGTCGAGAGATACAAATGTGAGTGGTCGAGAATTGATTGTAAGCTCTACTTCACATAAGGCGCTTTTGAGCGTTTCGTCTGTAAATTTGTACGAAGGGCAAATAGCATTCAGGACGGATTTAACGGAGCGGATTAATCTCTCCCAGGCCCCGCCCATATGTGGCGCCCCTGGTGGGTTGAATCGCCAAACGACGTCTTCACAATTTATGTTTAGCTTTTCGATACCATTAGCATTTGTGCGCAAGGCCTTTTCCGCAGCTTTAATGTTTGTGCCGTTGTCTGTATAAATCTCGCGTTGTTTGCCTCGCCGTGCCACAAAGTTCAGAATGCACATTATACAAGAACTGACGTCTAGACTATGTGCGACCTCCAGATGAACTGCACGGACGCTCAAACAAGTAAAGATTACTCCCCACCTTTTCTCTCTGCGCCTTCCAATCGAGACATGTATCGGACCGAAAAAATCTATTCAGACATAGGTGAAGGGACGCTCAAAGCTTGCCAAACGTGCAGCTGGTAGCGGAGCCATTTGCTGAGTATTTGGCTTAGCGCCATCGTTCTTGCAGCGTTGACATGACCTTCGTATTTTGCGGTAAAGTACTCGTAGGCGTGGAATATAATATTGTTCGCGAATCGAGTTCAAGGCTGCTTCATGAAATTGATGATGATTTCGTTCGTGGTAATGTCGAACTATTAAAGCTGTGATTGAGTTGTTTGTCGGTAAGATTATAGAGTCGCCAGTTCTTAAGCTTTCGGCTCTTCCCCGTGATCTGAGTATACCTTCGTCGCTTAAATAGACATTTAAAGAGATTAGTTTGCTATCGCTTTCAACACTCTTACCGCATTTGAGGTTGATAACTTCTTGCCGATATTCACTCTGCTGTGCCTCTTTTATGAGCGCGCTCTTAGCTCTGTGGATAATCTTGTCACATACGCCGGTAGGTATTTGCTCCTTCTTTATCTTGGATTTTAGTTTTTCTACGAACAATATTACCATCGCCATCGTCAAGTATAATCGACGCCAGCTTGAGAACCTATCAGCATCGTTTAAAGGTTGTGTGGTTTCGCCTTTGGTTATATGAAAGGTAAAATGTCGGAGTTCAGTATGCTCCACTGGTCCGAGGTCGTCGCATTTCGGCCAATCGGTTTGATTGAAAGATAAGAATTTCGGCCCGTGCAGCCAGATATCGGAACTTTGTTGCCGGCTGAATTTCGTTGCCAAGTCAGCAGGTTTAAGTTTTGAGGGAACCCAATTCCAGTCAGTGGCGTTGGTCGCCTCCAATACCTCGCCCACGCGATGCATTACATACTGTTTGAAATTTCTCGGATCCATGCGGAGCCATTTGAGCACGGTCTTTGAGTCTGACCACCAGAATCGAGCATGAATCGGAACTTGTAGTGCCTTCATCACATTGTTCGCCAATCTTACGCCAGTCACTGCAGCTTGTAGTTCGAGCCTCGGGATAGATACGGGCTTTAGCGGTGCTACTTTTGACTTAGCGGCCACGATGATAGTGTTGACTTCGTTTTTGTTTTTCACTCGCAAATAGCAAATTGCCGCGTAAGCATACTCGCCGGCATCTACGAAGGTGTGGATTTGGTTGCATTCGGAGTCTTTTAGAAGTTGTGAATAACATCGCGGAATCGTAATAGAGGTTATTGCTGGCAACAACGTCTTCCACTGGCACCACTTGTTGTAAAGCGGACCTGGGAGTGGGTCATCCCAGTTAATGGCCGATCGCCATACATCCTGAAGTAGTATTTTAAGACCTATGGTGTAATGTGCCACAAACCCGAGAGGGTCGAAGATGGACATCAACACCTGGAGTACTTCCCTTTTGGTTGGGACCAAGCTACATTGCAAGATGTCTCGTCTCATTTTGGAGAACCTGCAAATAAACTTAAAAACATCGTTAGTTGGATCCCAAAACAAACCTAATATTTTTTCTGCATTGCTTAAGTCCTTAGGAGTTTGATCTTCGACGGACTCCCCTGGATGTTGCCTCAGAACAGCTGATGAGTTAGATGCCCAGTTACGAATGTTGAATCCAGCTTGAGCGTGAATTGCTTTCACTTGCAGAGCCAGTTCCAGTGCTTCTTCTTCGGTATCGACGCTGTCGATGAAGTCATCGACGTAATGATGCTTTTGTATTGCTTCTACCGCTCGCGGTGATGTTTGCTTGTATTGCTCTGCATTTACATCTCGAACAAAGTGAGCAATGCAAGGTGCGCAGCTGATGCCGAAGGTAAGCGCTTGCATAACGTAGATGTGAGGGTTATGTAACTCCTCACAGTTCTCGTGCCACAAGAACCTCTGAGCGTGCATGTCCATTTCTCTTACGCGAATCTGGTGGAACATTTCGGCAATGTCTCCACAAATAGCAAACTGCCCAGTTCTAAAGGCCAGTAATACGAAGACTAGCGAATTGAGTAGATCTGGCCCGCACAGAAGGAAATCGTTAAGAGCGGCTCCATCAGATTTGGCCGCAGCGTCCCACACAAGGCGCAACTTGCCGGGTTTGTTGGGGTTTAGTGTGATAAATATCGGCAGGTACCACTCGTGGTCGTATGATCTATTTACTTCGTCTGCAGTTAACCTTCTTGCGTAACCTTTGCTAATTAAGTTGTCTATTTGCTTCTGCATGTCACGTTGCAAATTGGAGTCCTTAGCTAACTTTTTCTGCATACATCTGAAGCGTTTAAGGGCGTTGTCGTAACTAGCTGGTACCTTGCGTCGTCATGCTTCCACAACAACCCCACTTCATAGCGGCCCTCTCTTTTTTCACACGTTGAATTTAGAATTTGCAGCGATCTACAGTCTTGTGGGGACATGAGCTCTCTTTTTTGCGGCATCTCTAGGCTGAAGTACTCCTTGATCTCTTCTGTAGGATTTCGTATTTCTTTTCGCAGTCACATATGTGAATATTCAATAGTTGTGAGTCAAAGTGGTTAGTAGTACCTCCCTGCAAAGTCCAACCTAAGCGACACTTAGTGGCGATCGGCTCAAGCCAGTGTCCCTCACGAGTTTTGATAGGCACCGCAAGTTTCCAACAATTGGCTCCTATTAGAATACCCGGCTCGGCATTTTCATATGACTCGATCGGAAGCCCGCGTAGATAAGGGTATTTCTTCGTAATTTTCTCCATATTAAGAGACTGGCTAGGCAAGCC